TGCGCCTGATACAGTTCATGATCTTTGCAATCACTTGCTATGCATCAGAGAGTCAGACAATGACTAGGGAGGATGGAAGGAGAATTGATGCCTTTGAGCTATGGTGCTGGAGAAGAGTATTGAATATACCATGGACAGTTAAGAAAATGAAAAAAAAAAAAAGAAAATGAACAAGTTCATGTTGTTGTTGTTGTTGTTATGTGCCATCAAGTCCTTTGCAACTCATAGTGACCCTGTGTACAAGAGCCCTAAACCCCGTTCTATCCTGTGCCAACCTCGCTGTCTCAAACACATTCATTCCCACCACTCCACTCACAGAATCGATCCATCTCATCAAGGGTCTTCGTCTTCTGCACCGTCCCTCCACTCTCCCAAACATGATGTCCCTCTCTAAGGACTAGTCCCTCCTTGCAACATGCCCAAAGTATGTCAGATGAAGCTTCAGAATCCTTGACTCCAGGGAACATTCTGGTTTCACCCTCTCCAGGACAAACCTGTTTGTTCTCCTAGCAGCCCATGGTATATTCAACACTCTTCTCCAGCATCACAGCTCAAAGGCATCAATTCTCTTTCTATAATCCCTATGTACTGTCCAACTCTCTGATGCATAGCTCATAATTGCAAAGACTATAGCCTGGATCAGGTGCACCTTAGTCTCCAGCCTGACATCATTGCTCTTCAGCACTCTTGAGAGGTCCCTCACAGCTGACTTTGCTAATGCAATTCGTCTCCTGATTTCCTGGCTGCTATTACCAAGAGTGTTGACTGTGGAGCCAAGCAAACTAAAAACTGTTAACTATCTCAATCTCTTCATCATCCATACTGATGCTGCCAATTGGCCCAGTGGTGAGAATCTTTGTTTTCTTGATATTGCGCTTCAATCCATATAGGAGGCTGCAGTCGTTGACCTTCTGCAGCAAGCGCTTCAAGCCCTCCTCAGTTTCAGCAAGCAGGGCTGTGTCATCTGCATAACGCAGGTTGTTGACTATTCTTCCACCAATCCTGATGCCACATTCCTCCTCATACAGCCCAGCATCTCGGATGATCTGTTCATCCTGGAGAGGGTTAAACCGGGTTGCTCCTTGGAGGCAAGGATTCTGAAGCTTTGTCTAACATACTTTGGATATGTTGCAAGGAAGGGACAGTCCTTGGAGAAGGACATCATACTTGGGAGGGTGGAGGGACGGTGCAGGAGGGGAAGACCCTCTATAAGGTGGATTGATTCAGTGACTGGGGTAATGGGAGTAGGTGTGTTGTAGACAGTGAGATTGGCACGGGATAGAGCAGGGATTACCGCTGTTGTACAAAGGGTCGCTATGAGTCACAGTTGACTTGGCGGCACATAACAACAACAACAACAACAGTCTTCCTCAACCATATCTGCTTCCAGAGGGCCATGGTGAAGATTAGAGAACTCTGGTGGTGTCATCTGGATGGAGTTGCTTCACTAAGCTGAACTATAACTCTGGTGTTTTGAATCTACCATTGACTTTTTGGAGGAAGATGGGCAATCTCTCTGTTCAATTTACAGCTTTAGGAATCCAGTAGAGAAAACAAAAACAAAAAACAAACCAAAAAAACAAAACCAACCAACCAACCAACCAAACAAACAAACAAAAAAAGAAATCCAGTAGAGGCTCAGCTCTGTATTTTTTTTTTTTTACCTTCTTTTTTTTTAATTAGTTTTAATGAACATTTACAGAGATTTTGGGTTTTCATTCATTCCTTGTTGCACTGTTTTCTCCACCCTCATCCCCAGTTCATTCTTCTTCCCCCCCATGTCTGTTTTAATTGTCCAATTGCCACAGTGCTTGTCAAAGCCAGTTCTGATTAATCTCCTTTGTCAGTGTGTGCCTTGCCATTCCCTATCACTCCTCCCTGAGAGAGACTTCACCCTGATTCATAAGGAAAAGGGGATGGCATATTCTCTTAGCTACTTCCTGCTGAAAAGGGACGCTGTGGGTTTCAGGGTGAATTTCTTCTCTCACTACTCTAAAGGGCCCCCTTGGCAGTAGGAAACACGTAGACTATTATGGAGATTGATTTTGGAATTTAGATGCACTGTTATCAATTGTGCTTAGCCATACATGTTCATATCCTTGAAGATGTATCATGGTCAGCTCTGTATTGATTCTGACTCCACAGCTACTTTTAAGTTTATTGTGAAGATTTAGTTAATGCCATATCTCTAGATCCTTCCTGCGTTTATTTTTGTCTGTAATGATAAAGACCCTGCCGGAAGAGATTAGGTAATTTGCTCTGGCCAGACTTCAGACAAAAGGAATATTGTTCTGGAGGTGTGTCACCTCCCACAAGTGAGCCCAGCAAGCACCAAGGTTAAAGGAACTGTCATTTGGAAAGACAGATTTTAAAAAGCCAACATGGATTCCAGATCTATGTGAAGACTTTGAAATGGAGTTAAGTCTCCACTCTTAGACCATCCTATTTATATACAAACTGATTTTAGACTCTCATACACTGGTAAACCCAACTCTGCCAAGTGATAGCAATGTTACACTTGCTCACCTGTGTTGTTCATTTACTTCGTAATGGCACTTCTCCAGACCTCCCTTTAGTTCCAGCATGGTATGCACAATGCCTTTTGTTCTTTAATGACAAAACCCATTCATGTCTGGCATTATGATTTGAAATTTCAGGGATCTTTTCCTGAGGCTCTGAAGACTTGAAAAGCTTGGTGGAGAGTGACAGTTGCAAGATATGAATGAGGTTAGGTTTGTGAGGACACTAGTTTCTGCTGAGTCTTACTTGTAAAGCATTGTAGCTACCTTTTTTTCTTGAGCTCTTACAGCATTTTATATTTTGAAAAAAATCTTTCTGACGTATTGCTGTGGAGTTGGAACTGATTTATAGCCTGACCCTCTGTTCCGTTTTTGAGGCTGTAAATTACACTGAAGGTGACAGCCCATCTTTCTCTCTTCAAGCAGTGTAACTCTCCCTGGACTAGCCACCAAAGGTCCCTTTACCTACATGGTAAATTATTCTCATTTAACAGATGAAGAAAGCATGTTCAGGAAGTGAGTGGCTGGGTAGTGTAAAAGGTAACTGTGGTAAGCTGTTAAACAAAAGACTGACATTTGAGTCCACCCAGAGGTGCCAGGGAAGAAAGATCTGTCTGTCTGCTTCTGGAAAAATAGCCCTGGAAAACTGGGCAGAGTTCTACTCTAATACCATGGGTTACGGAGTCAGCTCTACGTTGTTGAGTCTACTGTCCTCCTTGTCCTAGCCTGCACCTTCTTCAGGATCTCTGCCATACTCTATTGTTGTAGTCACTGTAATCAATCCGTTTCATTGATGACCTTCTCTTTCTCCAACCCCTCCTTTCGGCAGCGTCATGTCTTTTCCCAGGTACTGACCTCTCCAGATAACTAAAATTTTCAGCCTCCTTGCCTTCCAGACAGATCTGTTTTTCTGATACCATTTAGTACTCTTGCTGACACCACAACTCAAAGGCATACATGGCAATTGGAAATCAACCTATTAATTAGGGTCCACCGAGCTCCTTAGTTTCTCCAGTGGGCTTCAGAGGCAGTAAATCGCACGGGAGAAGATTGCCCATCTTTCTCCTGCGCAACATCTGGTGGATTCAAACCATAAGCCTTGGGTTGGCAGTGCAACTCCTTACCACTAAGCCACCAGAACTCCCTGGAAATTAACCTAGGATGAGGTAATTCTGTTTTCTTAGACTTCCAATATTAGAAACACTTTGAGCTTCTTTTGTGTTCTATAGAGTAGCTAATGAGTCAGAACCATCTAGATGGCAGTGAAGGGTTTTTCGGTTTGTAATATAGGCAGATGATGAAAAAGGGTGTGTAGAGTAATGCTGATAACTTGTAAGCACGTAGAGGCAGGACGCGGGTTCTCCCAATCCGGAGCGCTTCCCGCAACTTGCAGAACAAGCTCCAGCCCTTCCACTGGGCCTCGCAGAGGATTCCGCCCCTCGGCTGCCGGGACAAAGCCTTTCTATTGGTCGTCCGTCACAGGGCCCCATGCTCATACGAGGGGAGACAGCCAATCACTGAGGCTCGCCTCCGCCCAGCCGGCCCACGCTAGATTGCGTTTTCTTCGTCCCGCCCGCTCCACGCCGGGAGTTGTAGTCTAATTATTCTTTCCTGCTAAGAGTCAAGGGAGGTCGAGAACTACTCGACCCAGAGAGCCTAGCGCGGGGCGGGTCTGGTTTTTAGGAGTATCCCGCCAACAATCTAGACCAAGCAAGAACCGGCATCCAAGAACAGGTGAGCACGATTGCGGGGAAGAGTCTGGAGACAGGCTTTTGAGGCACGGCCTTCCTACTCTAGCGATATTCTGAGGCACAAGAAATCAACTCGGTTGCGTCGAGGTTCTTCCCCATTGGGGATCGCTTGGCTGGTTCTCTCGGCTTGCGGTTAACACTAGAGCTCTCCGCTCACGTACTTTTCTGGGATTCCCAGAATTCTTGGGTCCAGTTTGCTCCTCTGTAGCGAAGCATCCCTGCTTAAGTTACTCTGAACGGAATTGCGACGAGGCTGTGTGCGTGGTCCCAGCACACTGAGACCACATGTGTGCAGCATTCAATGTCCCCTTAGGGACACATTGCCCAGAATCTGTACATCCCGCTCCACCCCTTACTTAGGGGTAATCTGGGAGTTAGCTGCCAAGAGCCTCAGTGTGGCCTTTGAAATAAGCGATTTCGGGAATCCTTCTGTCTCCTAGCCCTGTGGTACTTTGTACCTCCTCTTCCACCAGCCTTGTATACATGATGACATTCAATATTAGTTGTCTTATTTTAAGTGCCAGTCTGTTGGTAAGTCTTAGTCACCCCAGCCAAACTTTTTGTCCTGTGTATTTATTTCTTTCCAAGAATGCCTGATGCTCAGCCCACAAGAGATTTGGGCATTCTGGTCCAGGTAGTGGTGGGGGTGACCTGGGGAGTTGCCACCGTGCATCTGCCATTGGTCCTTGCCCCTGCAGGGAGTGCTCAGTGCCTCTCCCTATGCCACCCCCACGATGCCTCGGTCCCGCTGGCTGAGATCTGTGGGGGCCCTCCTGGTGCCAGCCCCCTGCTGGGCCCCCCGGGTGAGGTGGCTGGGTCTTCTACGGCAGCCCTCCCTGGTGCACGGGTGCCCAGTCCTGGGGGCCTGGCACAGTGCCCGCCGCTTGTGCCAAGTGTGGACAGAGGATCCTCGGTGAGTGCGGTGGAAGTGAGGGGTCTTGGGGAGGGGAACAGCTGATCAGGGTTTTGACTTGTCCTCCCTCTCCTCAGAGCATTCTACTCCTCCCTCAGAATGAACGGAGACCAGAAATCAGAGGCTTACGCCCAAGAGAAGCAGGATTTCATCCAGCACTTCTCCCAGATTGTCAAGGTGCTGACTGAGGATGATCTGGGGCACCCAGAAATAGGAGATGCTGTTACCCGGCTCAGGAAGGTGAGCGATCAGTGTCTTGTGGGAGAGGAGTCTCTGTTCACTTCACTTATGGATGAGATTCTGCTGTGGTTTTGGGGGAACTTGCCAGATGTGAGAGAAGACTTACCTGAGTGATTATGGGTGTGCCCTAGTGGGACACAGGTGGTCCCTAGGTGGGACTTAGGCCGGTAATTAATTTTGCCCATTAGTCCCACTTCATTAGAACATTACTTTCCAAACTCCTCTGCACAGGGTGGAGGCCTTGAAACTTGTGGGTCCTTGACTTTGGTGAGAAAAGGCATTTAGGTATCCAGAAATCATAAGGTGCCGCCCTGGTGAGCAGCTGGGAGGAAGGCAGTCCAAAGTTGCCCTGCCTCCCTGAGGCTTGAAGTGAAGTTGGGAGTGCCAGAAACCTGTATTCTAGGTCTCATATTATTGCTGTGATACTTGTGTGCTTGTGTGACCTAATTCCTTTCCTTCTACCCTCTTGGAGTATCTAGTAAAGCTTTTTGCATAAGTATTATTTGAGAGGAACTGGGGGGGGGGCAGAAAAAGGCTGTCTACACTGAGATGAGGATTAAAAGAGAGGTTAGCAGAAGGCACAGCTGGACAAAGTGCTATTGAAGGAGTGGATCCTCCAACCTGCGTTCCTCCCAACCACACTGCCCTTTGCCCAACTCTGAAGGAGCCTTGTCTTTAATCCAGTGTGGCAAGCTTTAGCTTTACGGGTGGCTTGTACTGTGGTTAAGAGAAGCTGGTTGAGGAAATCTGGGAGAGGTGAAGAAAGGAACTTGAGAAGGAGGTATTTGAGAAAGAGGGATCTGGATAAACTTGCTAACCTCTGGGCATATTTAGAGTTGGGGTTCAATTCTTATGCTAGGTTTGGGAGCAGATTTTAATTTGTACTATGGAGACTTAAAGGTACCCTAGTGGCACAGCTATTAGCACTTGGCTGCTAACTGAAAGGTCAGTGGTTCAAACCTGTCCATCACTCTTCAGGAGAGAGATGTGGCATCTGTTTCTGTAAAGATGACAGCTTGGAAACCCTTTGGGTGCAGTTCTGGTCAGTCCCATAGGGTTGCTGTAAATCAGAACAGACTCAAATGTAAGGTTGTTTGTGGGTTTTTGTTTGTTTGTTTTAAATGTACTTGAGGATACAGAGCAGATACAACACAAACACTGGAGACAAGAGAGTTCCTCTAGTGACCGCTGCACAGCTTGGATTAGGGAGCCCAAAGAAGACCACTTGTAGAAGTTTTGTGGAGAAGGGGTTGGGGTTAGGAAGGATAAAGTTGGGTGGCCGATGAAAGGAGAAAAATCCAGAGCAGCTGTGTGGACCCTGACACTTCATTCCCCACCATGTCTCCCAGGTCCTAGAGTACAATGCCATTGGAGGCAAGTACAACCGAGGTTTAACAGTGCTGGCAGTGTTCCAGGAGCTGGTGGAGCCCAGGAAGCAGGATGCTGAGAGTCTGCAGCGGGCCCTGACAGTGGGCTGGTGTGTGGAACTGGTAAGAGGGGTGCCCTGGCTGGGATGGTAAGGGATGAGCCTGAAACGGGCTTCTAATTTGTGTTTGTGGGCATCTGGAGTGTATTATAGTCAAAGTTGGACTGAAATACTCCAAGGGTTTAAATGTGTGGACCCTCTTTTGCCAATAGGTATGTATATGAATTTTAGACCAACTGTAGATCAGGGCTCACAACTGGATAGAGATGCTTCAGCTTTGACCTCTGAACAGAGGTCAGGAAAGTGCCATCGTCCTCCTTCAAGACTATTCTATATCAGAGATTGAAAACTGCCCATGTCCTGATAGTTTCTGAAAATGTTTAAAGTTGTTGTTAGGTGCTGTCAGGTAAGCTCTGGCTCACAGTGGCAAGATGTTGCCTGATCCAGTGCCATCCTCCCAGTCTTTACCCTGTTTAAGCCCATTATTGTAGCTACTGTGCCAGTCTGTCTTGCTGAGGTCTTTTTTCGCTGACTCCTTATTTTACTAAGTATGTTGTGCTTCACCAGGGACTGTTCCCTCCTGGCAACATATTCAAAGTCTTAACCATTCTCACTTTTTTTTTTTTAAGTTATGAAGCTAACTTTTTTTTTATTAATAATTTTAATGAACATTTACTGAGATTTTGGGTTTCCATTCATTCCTTGCTGCACTACCATTCTCACTTCTAAGGAGCATTCTGACTGTCATCCTTCTGGTAGCCCATGGTATAGATCCTTTGCCAAGACCACCATCCCAATGCATCAATATTTCTTATTGTCCAGCATTCACAAACAGATGAGGTAACTGAAAATGCCATCACTCGGATCAGACCCACCCCAGTCCTCAAAGTGATCCCTTTCCTTTTTTAGAACTTTGAAAAGGTCTTTTGCACCAGGTTTGCCTGTTGTCATAAGACATTTGGTTCTTGACTGCTGCTTTTATGGGCTTTGATTATGGATCCAAGTAAAATGAAATGATTGATAAGGCTATCAGGATATTACAGTTAGTATTACAGATCCCTGCTTGCGGTGGGAGGTGGCTGAGACAGGCTCCTGTTAGAGAAACTGTTCTTGGAGTATTCCTGGCTGAAACTAAGTTGCCTTTGCCATCACCCCTGGTCTGAGGTCAAGTGCAAGAGAAACTCTTACATCCCCGAGGGCTCTGCCTGGAGCAGGAGCAGTGGTTACACTGGCCCTTTTGTACCAGCCACATGAGCCAGTGGCCAGAGCTGGTGCTTCCTCTGAGCAATGTAGACTCAAACGAGGACACACAAGGACCAGGAGAGGGTGAAGGCTTGAAAATCGTATCATGAAAAGCTGTTTTAAGGAAACCAAATGTGTAGTCTGACTACGAAATATATGATGACATTAGTTTTCTTTATTTGCTTGGCCTCTGGAAACTAAACTTTGAGAAGCGATAATTATCAAAAGGTTTCAGGTCTTTTGTTCATAGGGTTATTATGAGTAGTTTTTGACTCAATGGTAGTCCACAACAACACAACTGTGTGTACACACACACACACACACACACACCTGTTTGTTAAACTCTGGGTTATTGTTTAGTGTTGTGGTATTGTGTACCATCGAGTCAGAACCAACTCATACCTGACCCTCCAGCAGGTGTTTTTTTTTAATTATTAAATTTTATTTTAACATTTACAGAGATTTTGGGTTCTCATTCATTGTTGCACTGTTTTCTCTACCCTCCTCCCCAGTTCGTTCTTCTCCCCCTCCGAACATCTGTTTTAATTGTCCAATTGCCACAGTGTTTGTCAAAGCCAGTTCTGATTAATCTCCTTTGTCAGTGTGTCCTTTGCCATTCCCTGTCACTCCTCCCTGAGAGAGACTTCACCCTGAGTCATAAGGAAAAGGGGATGGCGTATTCTCTTAGCTACTTCCTGCTGAAAAGGGACG